GGGGGGTTATGTGGGGGCTGGTGAGAATGTAGCCCGGCGCAGTGTGAGGTCCGCGCCTTTGGATTAGCCGGCGTGTTGATAGACCCCATACGTGGCCGGGTGCGTTCCGACGTATGAGGGGAGATATGATTGTGTGCGGGCTGGTGAGAATGTAGCCAAGCCCAGTGTTGAGGTCGCATGTGTAACACCCCGACTCCAAATTTATCCCATATTTTAATTAATTTGAGTGAAATTAAGAATTTACCCGTGGGATATGGGTATTTTAGTCATTTTCTTATCCGGAAGGAATTTGAGAATTTCGGTTGCACCGTTGCGTAGAGCACGGCGAGATGAGTTCGTAGACACGTAGTGGGCTCGAATCGGAGCTGTAACGAAGAAGTTACAGGCAAAACATCACCAGTGGCAAAATCATAAATATTTTGAAATAGGTTTTTGGTTAAAAGACGAAACTGCCCCCGTCTCTCTCTCTCTCTCTCTCCCAAGCGTCTCTCTCTCCCCGACGGCAGCTCCTCCCTCTCTCTCTCTTCGAAACTCCGACCACCGTCTATGGCAGCGGACGGGACAGGTGCGAAAAGGACCGGCTCAGCCCCGCCGTCAAGACCTGGCCCTTCCCCGACATCGGCCGCCGCTCCAGTCGCCGGAAAATGCAGGTTTTTGGCCGGTTTTCGCTCGAAACTTCGCCGGCACGATCTCCCTCCTCCGGCCACCGTTTCTGGTGATTGAGGTATGGATTTCTACCTATTTTTCATGATCTAGCTGATGGTTGGGTAGGATTACATCAATATCGCTTTGGACACCCACGCGCTGCCGGCGCGTGTGGCGGCGCGTGGGCACTGTAGTTGAGGGGCATTTTTGTCCCACTGTGATCCTCTTGATGTCACGAGCGCATAGGTGTGCTCGGATTTCATTTTGGGTACCGTTAGAGTCCCGAACGGATATCGCATATCGCGTATTTTCCGGGTGCGCTAGGTTTGGACCGTTGGATGGTCCTGAAGCTATACTATGTTAATCTAGGTATTACCAGGATCGTATAGGATTCGACGGATCGTAAAACGGAGTTCCGGATACTCCGAAAATACCAACCATAGGGGTAAGGTTTAGTAACCGTCCGATCGTGAGCGATCCAACCGTCCGATCTGGACTAAACTTGCAGGATGTGTGCCCTAAACCTTGTAGAACCTATAGGAACTGTCAGATCGGAATTTTAAGGTTGTGGGCCCCGGGTTGACCTTTAGACTTTCGTTGTAGTTCTACCATCACATGAGGGTTATAATGACCTTAGTGATAGGTCTTGAGCGTTGTTGAGTTAAATGGATATTGTGGGTTTAGGATATAAATTGGTGAATTTAAATAGGGGAGTTTATGGAATGCTTTATTGATTGAGGTTAATATGGGATTAGAAATTAGAAATTATATATTTAATTGTGTGGTTGTATAAAAAGTAAATAAAGGGATCAAATGTTAGTTTACAGTGCTATACGCACTACCCCACGTACCCCCCCATATTGTGATTATGTTGAGGCCCTTAAACCGGTGCGGCTGGTGAGAATATAGCCAGGCCCAAGTGAACAGTATGAGGGCTGGTGAGAATGTAGCCAGGCCCAGTGTGAGGTCGCACGCGTCTTTGGATTAGCCGGCGTGTTGACAGGCCCCGTACGTGGCCGGGTACGTCCCGACGTATGAGTGGGTGATATGATAGTATAAGGGCTGGTCAGAATGTAGCCAGGCCCAGTGTTGAGGTCGCACGCGTCTTTGGATTAGCCGGCGTGTTGACAGACCCCATACGAGGCCGGGTGCGTCCCGTCGTATGAGGGGAGCTATGTGATTGTGTTTGGTGTGTTATGATGGATAAATCCTAGAATGTATGTAATTGTATGGCGGTAATGGTTTAGTTGATATTAGGAGCCAGAATAGATACGAAAGAGCTACGTGTGGCTTGATCCCTTAGTAGGGTACGTAGGCAGCCTGAAGTTATTAGGTGCAGCCACAGATTAGACCCCACTTAGGTGGTCTTATTGAGATTGGTTCGGACTTCGTTGTTGGCCCTGAAACTTGGTTGAATTGAGGCTTGTCCTGGGAACTGAGTGAGTGAAGGTGGGCATGAATAGATTTTGAATTTGTTATATGCATGTTTAATGCATTAAGTTATTTTAAAAACATTATGGGCAGTTCTGCTAGAATCGTTTGAAGGCCGGAGGCCATTTATGTAATTGCATGAGTTTATATTGTGCGTGCTGCCGGTTGGGTTATAAAATGTGTTTTATGCAGGTGGAAATTTTGGGGAAATGTTCAATTTACAGGGGAGACTCTGCCGAAATTTCGGCAAAAAGTCTCGTGCCCTTAATCGTCTCTGATAAACGAGGACATAGATTTAAGGAGTGAACTCGGCGTAGGTGTGAAGCCGGGGTCTCCGCAGGGTTCGTCTCGGGTTCCGGGAAATTCGGGGCGGGTCCTGTCAGACTAATTTTGTGTTTTTTTCTCTAAATAGGCTCTATATGAGTTTTTGTATAATACGTCATGCTAAAATGAGTTTTTGAATAAATATCTCATCTATTTTCCTTTTCAGATAGCTATTCGATACTTTCTTTCTATACAAATTTATAAATAAAGCCAATTCTAGACATGTATTTATAGAAAAACCCAAGCACTATTTAAACATAGAAACACACCCAAAATCAACCCCAAAGTCAACTTTTTGGGTGTGTTTATAAATGGATTTTGAGTGTGTGTAATGATGAGTTTTGGGTGTGCTTATATGTTTAAATAGTATTTGGGTTTTTTTTTTATAATTTAAACCCTCATTTTGGGTGTTTTAGTAAAACTCCCTTCTTTCTATTCAACGAGAGACCATACGTTGGCATCGGGTTTGTGGAAATACCAAAGGTTGTACACAAATAATTGATCTCTTTCCACATATCTCTCATTTTATAATCTTTGTGATTAGTTAACTTTGAGCTTATAGTCAATTAGGAAGGAGCCAAAGAGTTATGCCTAATATGAATTATTTTAGTATTTAATTTTTGTTCGATTCCATGGATAAGTGTGAATGCCAAGCTGGAATGTAACACAGCACAAGAAGATATAGTAGTTGCAAAGAGATCAGAAAAAACTTAACTAATTATATATTCTGCGTTTTTGGGCTGGAAAAGGGAGGCCAAGGTTTTTGTCAACGATCCCGACAAAAGTAAGCGTCAATAACAAATACTAGTAAATGTATAATCATTATTGCAAGTCGTCTTTTTTTAATTCCAATTGATTGTAAAGCTCATAAATAAGCTAGCTACTGCTTGCAAGTTGCAGATCATAATGTCTATAAAACTGATTTCCTATTTCTGCAGCTTTGATTTTTCAAGTGGAGTTGCTGCGGAACTCTTGTTAGATTCTGCTTGTCTTCCCTTCGTATAGCTTTGTGGTAAGTTCTATCTAAGTTTAAGCTTTCCTAATCTCTCTCTCTCTCTCTAGATGCATTCAACTTATATAATCTGTACATTACTAAAATCCATGACCGAAACTTTTGTCCTTCATACTTTTCTTTTATCTTATTTTTATGTTTTGTTTTCTTCTTTCAATGTATATAATTTTGATCATGACATCATCTATTGTTTCAGTGGAAGAAACTTTTCCGGAATTAGAGTTCAAGATTTAGGGTTGCTGAAGTAAAATTTTAATATTCTGAAATGTTTCATCTTTTCAGGACCAACGAAGACTTTGGTATTGGATTGAAGGAATTCGTTGGATCTATTTATAGTTTTCGCGGTGGCATCCTCATATAATATATATGTCTGACTTAGAGGAAAGCGTTCCCCTAAGGTTAATCTCATCTCTGTACCATTTATATATATTTTTTAATGATTTTTTAGCCAGAGATATCTACGTTGACGGTGTTATGTATAGTTAGTTACATGATAATTTTGATAGAGTTAGCACCGTACCAATATTTGGGTGTTATGTATAGTTAATTACATGATAAAAATACCATTTGCGTTCTTCCTCCTTTTTGCCCTCTTGAAAATTGTTCAAGGGATAACCAAGGTGGTTGGTGTGAGTGGTTCGACACTCTCATTCCTTAAGAGAGGTCAGGGGTTCGATCCCTGCTCTCGTATGGAGTCACCACTTTGGCCAGCACTTTACTCCTTACGGGCCGACCCGGTGTGAACGGGGATTAGTCTGGGTTGTGGTTAAGGCTTAAAGGTGCCATCCATAGTTGGAGCCCATCCAGGACCACCTCGTGGTTCAGACCAAAAAAAAAAATTGTTCAAGGGATATTTTGGTTCCAGCCACGCGCACAAACTCATCTGCGTATGTAGTTTGAAAGTTTTAGGGAACAAATTGGATGCCTTTAGTAATCCGATTGTAAAATATTCAAATACATACTTAGGAATTAGGATGTGGTGATGGAACGTAATTCATAAGTAGCTTAGCTCCAGTGTTTCTTTCTTTCTGTCTCTCAGGGACAAACCAAGTTATGATTTTGACGATATCGAGAGGCAAGGCCGTCCAACAAAATGGTCCACAGCAGCAGTTAATGGAATTCTTGCCCCAAAGGGGCGCACCCTTCAGCTGTGGAACAATATATTCGTAATTTCATGTGTGGTCGCGGTCTCCTTGGATCCTCTCTTCCTTTATATTCCAATCATCAATGAAGAAAACAAGTGCCTTGGAATGGACAAAAAGCTGAGGAATGCAGCTCTTGTTTTACGCTCACTTACGGATATCATTTTCGTTGTGCGTATTGTACATCAAATTCGAACCAAGCTTGAGGACTCTGAGGAACCAGCCGAAGGAAGGGAGTCATTGGGATGGAAATGGAGGCCCTTGTTATGTGTCCCTCTCATAATTGACTTGCTCGCAATTCTTCCCATCCCACAGGTATTTGAGTAAAAAGAGTATATATATATAGTAAATTTTTTAGCCTTGGACATTATTTGGTGACAAAAGTTTTGGAAAAGCTTTAGCATCTTTAGTATTATTGCAAACTTGTGTTGAATCTAACCTATTGTCATTTGTCCAGTTGGCAATAGTTGTTGTGTTTTTCAGAACCAGGGGCTCTGGGTATTTACAAAAAATAAACATTTTGAACGCCTTTCTACTCTTTCAATATGTGCCAAATGTTTACCGACTTCACATATCCAGTGAGAAACTTCAAAAGAAGGAAAGACGGATTAAAGGTGCATTCAATTTTTTTCTATACATCCTCGCGAGTCATGTAAGTTTCATCTCCATTTCTGTTAGTACTTCTTTTTTATATTCCCTTTATTATCATAATGCTGCCTGAATTGTTGATTGACTAACCAAATGATTCATTTTTACAATAACTGCATGAAGACCTCCGTTATTTTAAACTTGTTGGATTCATAACTCACACATTACCATTTTTTTTTGTTTTTTTTTTTTGGTTTAGTGGAGTTACTCAATTTGTTTTTTATTTATTTTTATATCTCCATCGAACGTTGTTCCAATTATTAATAATTTGTTAGTATATTTTAGGTACTTGGAGCTTTTTGGTACTTTTTTTCTATTCAGCGAGAGACAACATGTTGGCACCAAGCATGTAGAAATACGGAAGACTGCATAGCTTCTCGATATTGCAATGATAGTACTTCAAGAAATATCACATTCATAAATGAATTTTGCCCTATAAATCCATCAGATCCTTCGCTATTTGATTTTGGAATGTTCCTTGATGCCCTTCAATCTGGTAACACAGGACCAGTAAATTTTCCAAGAAAATTCTTTTATTCTTTCTGGTGGGGAATCAGAAATCTAAGGTTCGTATAAATGAATATAATTAAATCACGAAGTTTTTTTTGTCTCATTAGCTATTCAGTTATCTATGATGCACAGGACCTAGGTTTTTCTTTCTAGAATAAGAACAAGGTTCATATATAAATAGATTATATATGCCATTATCTTGTCTCTCATGTAACATTAATTTTGCAGTAATTTTGGGACGAGTCTCGAAACGAGTAGCTACGTGTGGGAAAACTGCTTTGCAATTCTTATTGCTGTTATTGGCTTGCTACTCTTTTTATATCTCATAGGAAACTTGCAGGTTGGTGATGAATTAATAATCTATTGATGTAGTCATATTCCATAAAAGAAATGATATCTTCAGATGGACCCAACGTTGTTGGATCAAGCTTCATATATTGGACACACGTACAAACTATGATATATTGATGCTCATATACGACTTGATGAACATGATCATCAACACTTACATTTTCTTCTTCTTTTGTGAAACAGACATATATGCAGTGGGCAGCCGCAAAAGCGGAGGAGCAAAAGGAGGACGACTTGAGAAAGAGAATTAAGTTGAAAGAGGATAGTATAGATGACTGGATGTTAAAACATGGTCTCCCTCAGGATTTGAAGAAAGAAATCATGGATATCATTAAAGAAAATAACGTGGTGGAGAAAAACATTGATGCCGAGGTGGATGTGAAGTATCTATTCTCCATTGATCTTCCACGGACCACTGAAAGTTCTATAAAGCACCATGTGGGCATGAATGTGCTAAACAAAGTATGTTTTTAACCTTCAATCTCTGCCTGAAAGTTATATATATATATATATGCATATATGTGCTAGTGTATTAGACTACGAACATCCAATCTTAAACCCATTGGTAATGGATGAATACCTTTTAAGCTCTTAGTTACGCTTCCCTCACGTTTGACATATTTTGCATTTCATATGTGGACAATTTTTATTGGGTAACGTAGGAGCATGTGAGACTATTGGGCCTGCCACACTGATAGACGTGTACCATATATTAGCTAGAATGTGGGAAACTCTCTACAGTGTTGCCATTAGAAAATTTTCAATGAACCTTATTAGTAACAAAATAAATCTTGTCCTTTTTAATCGATTAATGTGTAAGTTACATATAAATATGTATAGGTACCAGTGCTTCAAAATATGAGAGTAGAAGTGTTGAAAACGATCTGCGACCATCTGAAACCACAGATCTTATACCCTGATAATATCAACGTTTTTCGAAGGGGAAAGGCAATTGATTTCATGCTCTTCATCATAGAAGGCACCATATCGATTCAAGAAAATGCCTCAGAACCCACTGAGAGCACTCCTGGGGAAGGGGACTATTTTGGAAAAGAACTTCTGTATTGGGCATCACCGGCAAACTCTTTTGACCTTAAAGTTCCAAGCTCAACACAAAATGTCAGGTGCCAAACAAAAGTAGAAGCTTTTGCTCTCAAGGCCGAGGCGTTGAGATCAATAGTCTTGAAATACAGACGTACCTGGAATAGGATTTTATACAATTGTGACATTAATTATCCACAATTGGAGGAGTTGGAGTTGGCAAGAAGTCCCCATGACAAGACTGAACAGGTAGAACATTATATATATCTTGATATATTACTGAATTATTCTTAACTTAATTAACGCTGAAAAAAAAATGCTTATGTATATCTCGAGTTTGGGATTTCAATACTGTATGTGTGGCCATACCATGATAAACTAAGCTTCTTCTTTTTTGAATAGACGTATATGCAGTTATGGGAGGAGAGTTTAAGACTACAGAAGTTGAAGGTCTTGAAAGACAACGACATACTTGAGTGGGTGTCAAGAAATGGTCTCCCCGAGAACATCAAGAAAAAAATAATGGAAAACATAACAGAAATTAACGCAGTGAAGAAAAACATAGATGTTGATGTGGATGTGGACTTTGTATTCTCTATTCTTCCCCATGACGTAAAAGAAGCGATAAAGGTCTACGTTGGCATGGGTGCACTTAAGAAAGTAAGTTCTTACTATGAACATAGCTGCTAGTATATGCATTGAATCTTGTTCTTATTGATCAATTAATGAAAGAATATATGTGTAGGTACCCATGCTTAAAAATATGCCTGAATCCTCGTTGAAAGTCATCTGCAAATATCTGGAGCCAGTGATCTACAGCAAGAACGATTACCTTATTCGAGCACGAAAACCCCTTAACTCCATGCTTTTCATTATAGAAGGGGTAATTATATGGCCCAATACGGCTAACGAGGCTGTAACAGCGGGTTCCTATATGATCAACCAGTTATGTCTTGTGAAAGGTGATCTTTACGGAGAAGAACTTCTGAGCTGGGCATCACCCGGCAGCCGTCTTTCTGACCTTCCAATCTCGACCCAAGATGTCTGTTGTCAGACAAAAGTAGAAGCTCTTGCTCTCAAGGCAGAGAAAATGCAAAGTATGGTCTCCGAACTACGAGAGCGGTGGACTAATTACTACATTGCACCCCCTCAGGAGAAGACCTATCTGCAGATACTAAACGAGGTGATACGAAAGCCATAAATGAGGCTAAGACCATTTATTCTTAAATTTTCATGCACTAATTATGTACGATACTCATACCATGTAGGATCTAATGAACTGATGATCAGCCTCTTCTCCTTCTGTTAAACAGACATATAGGCAGTTGAAACCAACAAAATTGGACAAGGTTGAGGATGAGGACTTAAGACAGAAAATGAAGATAATGACCAAGGAGAGAGATATACTTGAATGGCTGTCACGAAATGATCTCGATGACGATTTGAAGACAAAAATCATAATGCACATGAAGTTGAATAAAATTGTGGATGAAAACATTAATGCGGATGTGAATGTGGAGTATCTCTCTAATAATATACCCTTTGGTATCGCAATTTCTATAAAGAGGCAACTCTGCATTAGTACGCTAAAGAAAGTACGTTCCTCAACCTCTCTATAAATCTTAATTTTACTAGAAAAGAAAAGGCAAGTAATAAGAAGCATTTCAGTGCATATCATAAATCTTCTTCTTAGGGACCAATTAATGTATGCAATATGTAGGTACCCATGCTTGAAAAAATGCCTGAAGACATGCTTAAAAATATTTGCTACGAAGTCAAGCCAGTGACCTACACCCAGGATAGCTACATTGTTCGAGCAGGAGAGCGACTTGATTTGATGCTCATAATTACAGAAGGCACAGTTATATGCGCCGGCACGAAGTATCTTGAGAAAGGACATTTTTGTGGAGAAGAACTTCTGAGTTGGGCATCACCCAACATCTTATTTTCTGGTCGTGCTCCTATGTCAATCCATGATGTCAAATGTCAAACAAAAGTAGAAGGCTTTGCTCTCACAGCCGATAAGTTGAGAAGTTTCGTTTCGCAATACAGCTCAGAGTGGATTTCAAATTTCAACAATTATAGCAATTCACATCAGTTGGAGGAGCAGACAGACACCATTGATAAGATACTGAATGAGGTTCAGGTAAAACATTATTATTCACAATAATAATTTTTTAATCTTTAATTATCACCGGTCAACATGTTTATGTCATATATGTTTCTGATGATGATAAAACATTGAATTAAGGGTTTGATGACCTAAGTTTCTTCTTCTTCTGTGAAACAAACATATGCAGTTGGGAACTACAAAATTGGAGGAGATTGAGGATGAGGAGTTGAGACAGAAGATAAAGATAATGATCAAGGAGAAAGAAATACGTGAGTGGGTGTCAAGAAATGGTCTCGAGGAGGATTTGAAAACAAAAATCATAATGCACATAAAACTAAATAACCTGGTGGAACAAAACATTGATACTAATGTGGATGTGGAGTATCTCACTAATAACCTACCGTTCGGTGTGGCAATTTCTATAAAGAGGCATCTCTGCATTAGTACGCTAAAGAAAGTATGTTCCTATACCTCCCTACAAATCTAAATTTACTAGGACAGAAGGCAAAGTACTTTGATGGAATATATATTATAAATCTTCTTCTTATATTGATCAATTAATTATAATTTATGCAATCTATAGGTACCCATGCTTGAAAAAATGCCTGAAAATGTGTTCGCAAATATTTGCTACGAATTGAAGCCAGTGACCTACACAGAGGATAGCTACATTGTTCGAGCAGGAGAACAACTTGATTTAATGCTCATCATTGTAGAAGGCAAAATTCTGCAGACCGACATGACTTTGGATACTGGTACAACGGGCTCATCGATGATCACCAATTATCTTGAGAAAGGTGATTTCTGCGGAGAAGACCTCCTGAGTTGGGCATCACCCAATATATTATTTTCTGGTGATGCTCCTGTCTCAACCCATGATGTTAGGTGTGAAACAAAAGTAGAAGGCTTTGCTCTCACGGCGGATAAGTTGAGAAGTTTCATCTCCCAATACCCCTCAGAGTGGATTTCAAATTTCAACAATTGTAACAATTTACAGCAGTTGGGGGAGCTGGCATTTCGCCCCGACAACATCGATAAGATACTGAACGAGGTTTGAGTCCAAATTACTAACCCCCATTTTTGTTTTTCAACTAATTTTCTTCGAATACTTTGTGTTATGAGTGCCATACCTTGAAGGATTTGATGAACTTTCTAGCAAACATATGTATATGCATGCAGTTGGGAGCTACAAAAGTGGACGACATTGAGGATGAGGAATTAAAAAAGAAGATGAAGACGGTGATTAAGGAGAAACATGTACAAGAGTGGCTGTCAAGAAATTGCCCCCTTGATGAGGATTTGAAGACCAAAGTCATGATGCACCTAAAATTAAATAAAATTCTGGATCAAAACAATGATGCTGCGGTGGATGTGGAGTATATCTCTAATAATCTACCCTTCGGTACAGCAATTTCTATAAAGAGGCATCTCTGCATTAGTACGCTAAAGAAAGTATGTTCCTGAACTCTCTCCATAAATCTTGATTTTATACTAGGAAAAAGTTTTCCGACATAGGACATTTCCTCATACCCTCTCACACCTAGATGGTACATATTGTGAATCTTCTTCTTATGTAGGTACCCATGCTTGAAAAAATGCCTGAAGATGTGTTCAGTAATATTTGCTACGACTTGAAGCCAGTGACCTACACAGAGGACAGCTACATTGTTCGAGCAGGAGAAAAACTTGATTTGATGCTCATCATTGTAGAAGGCAAAATTCTGCCCCCGGACATGAATTCTGACAACGGAACAACGGGTTCACCGATGATCACCAAGTATCTTGAGAAAGGTGATTTTTGCGGAGAAGAACTTCTGAATTGGGCATCGCCCAATACATTATTTTCTGGTCATGCTCCTATCTCAACCCATGATGTCAAATGTGAAACAAAAGTAGAAGGGTTCGCTCTCACGGTCGATAAGTTGAGAAGTTTCGTCTCCCAATACACCTCAGACTGGATTTCACATTTCAATAATTCTAAGTCGTGAACTCTTGCAGGACAAGACTGATGAGATTTGGAAATACAATTGAATAAGAAAATTAATAAGAAATGAGACGCTTATGAGGAATTTTTTTCCTTCTTCCCATTATCATGAATTAATTGTTTATGAAGCTTAACTTTTTTTTTTTACTTCATTATTTTGTTTAACTCCAACGACTCCTACCAAGCAAAGAAGGTTAAGAGAATGTAGAATAATAAAATAATTGTTAAAATATTCAATCATTTTTTCACCGCCATCATGCTACAAGGTTGAAGAAAATAGGGAGATTCACTATTATACCCAATATAGAGGCCCAAATTATTAAAAAAACTCTACACGAAATGAATTTTAGAAACATACCCAAAGCCCATTTACAACATAAAAAAGAGGCTTCGAACTTCAGATAAATTACAAAACTGCTATCGATTTCTTAAAACAAGCCCAACCCCAAAACTTCATAAATAAATAAAAACCCAAAACACTCAAATAGGACATCAAAGTAATTTTAGTAATAAAAATTAAATTACATAGGGCTATCTATTATTTTTTGGGTTTCTTTTTTGGTTTGTTTATAAAAATTAAATGGTGTAAGATTTATCTGTGCCACTAGTGTTAAGATAGGTATATAATTAAATATCTTCACAGGCCAAAAAAAAAAGAAAAAAAGAAAAGAAAAAAAGAATCCCTTTTCAAAGAATAAAAAAAGGTGACCCCAGAGCGACAAGTGTACAAGAAGATACTAACAAGCAAAAGATTAACCTCCTTTGGGCTTAATTATGGTCAATTAGCAACATACGATATATAACACACCTACCCGCCTAACCGTGTGTAATTAACTCAATAATGGGTGGGTAACGTGATGTGTATTTAGATAGAATAATAAAGTTCAGATTTGACCAAAAAAAAAGAGACTAGTATAGTCAATTAGCAACTAGCAAAAATTTAATATATTCAATTGCTGATTAACCACGTTTTGGCTTAAGTATAGTCAATTAGCAACTAGCAAAAAATTAATGTTGGTTGGACTCGATGGATAAGTGTGAACGCCGAGCTGGAAGATCGCAACAACACAAAGAAGGTGGCTATATAAAATCTAGGAAAAAACTTGTGGATGGATGGCATCTTCGTCAACGACAATTATTACTAGCGAAGCTATACCCCCATCGATCCAAGTCGTCTTTGTTTAGTGATGAACAATAAATGTATATAAATCTGAATCACTATTCTTCCCTCCGTTCACGGCCCTTGGCATGTTGCATATACAGCGTGCTGGTAGGTGCTACAAAGTTCAAAAGCTTTCGCTAAAGTAAATGTACTTATCTCTCTCTGCCGATAAGTACATACATGGCTGACACAGAGGAAAGAGTTCCCCTCAGGTTTGTTTCTTTGTTTGTATCACTTACGTTTTAGCTATTTTTTGATGCGTTTGTGATGCTTGTGAATCACAGTGAACACACAAATTATAACATATATGATTCATTCTATTCACACTTTAAACCATAAAACATGTGAAATTGTTTTGCGTAAATGAAAAAGTCGGTCATTTTCCGATATAAGCTCACGATAACTTTACATTTCAGGAACACCCCTAGTGACGATTTACACGACGACGTTGAGGGGCAGCGTCGACGTCCAAGAAAAGGGCCAAGAATAGTAGCGAAGCGAATTCTCGACCAAACCCTGCGCGCCCTTATATGGCGCCATGAGATATTTGTAATTTTATGTGTGGTTGCAGTCTTGGTGGATCCTCTGTTCCTTTATATTCCGGTCACCGATGAGAACAACAAGTGCCTTGGAGTGGACAAAGGGTTGAGGATTGTGGTTCTTGTTCTACGGTCACTTTTGGACATCATTTTCATAACGCATATTATACATCAAATTCGAAATCATAGTGAATTAATTGTGGTATCTGATGAGGCACCAGAAGGACAAAGATCATCGGGTTGGACAAGAGGGTCGTTGTTAACAATCATAGTTGACTTTCTTGCTGTTCTTCCCATCCCACAGGTATGAGTAAGAAGCATTTTGTTTTCCTTTCAATGCTAAAGGGTATAATTGAGATTTTAAGCTTTTTATTATTTGACAAGGTGGATTCTCTTAAATATATGTTTAATTGAAAATAATTGTTAGTTTTCATATCATTCTAGGATTTAATGTTTATTTAATTAAATAATATAATGCACATTATTTGATGACCTTTTTTTTTTTTTTTTTTTTTTTTCTGAAAATTTATTGCAAATGAAAATTCATTTGTTGGTTCTAACTCATATTGTACGTAATTGGTTCAGTTGGCAATAGTAGTTGTCTTTTTCCGAACGAAAGACACTGGATATTTTCTGAGGAGAGAGATTTTGAGCGTCTTTCTCCTCTTCCAATATGTGCCAAACGTTTACCGACTCCACCAATCTTTTAAGAGACTTCAACTGAGAGCAAGATTGGTCAAAGGTGCATTCAAATTTTTTCTCTACATCCTCGCAAGTTATGTAAGTTTCCATCTCCTTTGTCATAAATATTATTTCTTCCATCATATTTCCTTTTTCATATAATATTGCTTAAATTTGATTGGGAGGACATGACACTTGTCACACTCACATAGGCCATTCATTACAATGTGCCATGTGGAAGCTTGTGATTGAACCTGTGACAACCTGATAAGTGCACCCTTAAAGTTCTTTAGTGCACTCAACAATGTGACTCCTGATGATTTCATCAATCTAACAAAATAATGCCCCTTTTTATAACTCACTTGCTCAATTGGATGCTAAAAATAAAATTGTAAATTCTTTTGAAGCCTTATATTTTCGTTTTGATCAGGAGGTACTTTTGTTATCAATATAGATTTTTCTCGAATTATTGATTAATTTAATGGTATTTTAGGTACTTGGAGCTTTTTGGTACTTTTTCTCTATTCAACGAGAGACATCATGTTGGCACCAAGCTTGTAGCAATACAGAAGGATGCATAGCTACTTTATCCTGCAAGGATAATACTTCAACAAATATAACATTCCTAAATGAATTATGCCCTATAAGTCCATCAAATCCTTCCCTATTTGACTTTGGAATATTTCTTGATGCCCTTCAATCTGGTAATACAGGACAAGTAAATTTTTCAAGAAAATTCTTTTTCTCTTTCTGGTGGGGAATCCGAAATTTAAGGTTTGTGCATGTAGATACGTTGAGGCGTTATATTCATAAAAATGTGTTGACGTGTTGATAATCCACAAGTTCTCTTCTTTGCTATAAGTTTTAGTTATATATTTGTCATTAACATGTTAAAATTGCGATTAATTTTGGCACGAATCTTGAAATATGTCAATATACGATTATAATGTCAGATATATAATTTATAAAATATGATCAACTTATATCTCAGTATTAAATGTAATACTGCTTGATCAATTTTTGCAGTAACTTTGGCACGAATCTGGAAACAAGTAGCTACGTGTGGGAAAATTGCTTTGCAATTCTTATTTCCGTCGTTGGATTGCTGCTCTTTTTATATCTCATTGGCATTATGCAGGTTGGTCATGAGTATCTTCTCATGATATGTGTAAAATTTTTGAACTTCTAAGGGGACATAATTTTAATAGCTAATTAACCATGACTCTTTGATGCTTATTGCTTTGATGCTCAGCTTTTCTTCTTCTTCGTTTGGGAAACAGATATACATGCAGATCGCAGCCGCAAAAGCGGAAAAGAATAAGGATGACAAGTTAACACAGAAGATTAAGATGAAGGAGAAAGGTATAGTTGACTGGGTGTCAAATAATGGTCTCCCTCCGGATTTGAAGACAGAAATCATGGACTTCATAAAACAAAATAAGGTAGTGGAAAAACTGTACCAGAAAAAGAACAAGGCAGTGGAAGAAAACATGACTGCTGAGGTGGATGCGGAGTTTCTATTGTCTGTTCTTCCCGAGAATATCCAAAAGTCTATAAAGCGGCACGTGGGCATGAACGCGCTCAATAAAGTAGGTTTCTTAACTCTCAACCTCTCTTCTTTATTAATAGGGTGTTAGTTGGATTGGTCCAGACCTTTATGTGCTCTCAAGTGCTCAGTGACATCCGCGCGTACGAGTTTTTCCCCTTCTCCTTCCTACCTTGCCCCCCCCCCCCCAAAAAAATAACTCTCTCTAATTACATTTTTCTCTAGTGGCTAGTAGAGTAATAAAAATGAGATCAATAAGCTACAGATAACACTCCTGAATTTTTAACCTTATTTCAAGTTAATCTTTAAAAATTAGAGAGGTGCGGTCTAGTATGGTGGCTTGGCTTCAACTAGATTGGAGTTAAGTCTAAGTCAATTCTTATGAGTTCCACCCCTCTAGTCTAGATGAGACTTGTAAGACATATGTTATTTGTTCAGTTTAATGAGTCAACATATATACTAAACAACGGTCAGAACACTTGTTCAGTTAAGTGAAATAGTCTAGTCTAGTTCGATCCACCAAACTTGGCTTATGCGGTCATGGTCCAAATATTTACTCTGAAGATGGTGAGTGAAATGTCAATAAGCCCAGCTAGCTAGTATAAATACTGAATCTTGAGGTCTTGCTGGTCAATTAATAATATTTAAGTACACTAATTAATGTAGGTACAAAGGCTTCATCATATGGATAAGAAAGTGTTGGAAATGATTTGCGACCATCTTAAGCCAATCATCTACCCTATCAATAGCTACGTTTTACGAAGGGGAAAAGCAATCGATTTGATGCTCTTCATCACAGACACAGAAGGCACTATGCTGACCTATGAGGATCCGAAAACTGTCATCAAGAGACTTAAGAAGGATGATATTTTCGGAGAAGAAATTCTAAGTTGGGTGTCACCGAGCATCTCTTTTGCTAATCTTTCAACTCCAAACTCAACTCTAAATGTCAAATGTGAAACAAAAGTGGAAGCCTTTGCTCTCATGGCCAAGGACTTGAGAAGTGTGGTTTCAGGATGCAGACATCTGTGGAACTGGACTTTATACAATTGTGACATTGAGTCTCAGGAATTTGAGGAGCTGGCACGTCCCATCGACAAGACTCATCAGGTACGTAGCAAACAAGGGTTTAAGTACTCAAATCTATAAAAGAGCCCCAAGAGGATTAA